GTTCTTACCAAGAGATCAGAAGCACTATTAGAAGGTGCACAGGCTAGTATTCTACTYGCGGGAATCCTGTGGAAAACCTGTCGTAAAAAAAAGAACAAATCAAAAAGTATATAGCTGAAGGTTTGCTTTTACAACACAACAAAATACACTAAACGCACTATAGAAACAAAAAAAAATATTTTCCTTTTTTGTGGTAATCGCTTCTTAAAGACGGATAACCACTATGTCATCGCSGAGTGTAGACTGGAAGGGTGAGGTAAGCTGGGAGCCAGAATTAAGTTGGTGGACTTTCCAAAAGAGAAACTGCGCATGCACAGCGTACGCGACTCGAACATTTCGAAAAATCGCAGGAGGTGTGATACTCTGATCAATGGCGTCGCACGTTGCTGCAAGATTYTTTGTACCTGTAATATAGCTTCCACAAGTGTTACTGTCTTGCCTGTCCCAGGAGGACCAAAAAGAATGTATGGAGTTGGTCGACACTGACCACTTAGAATACGAGAAACTGCAGCTCTCTGGCGTTCATTCAGATTTGAGTTGTACAAAATATCAACTTTCTTGGATGGTGGATTCTCTTTGTTGTTCTTATCAGTTGGTCGACGTGCATCTTCGTTGTCATTATTTGTTCCAAAATAGAGGCTTACCACAGGGAGTTTAGATTCAAGTTTTCTGGGAAAAATAACTGCGGAAAAAATGAATAAGAATGAAAAAAATTCAATAATAGCTAGGACACTTGCTACCTGTATAAAGAGTTTTGTTTGCAAAGAGCCTACTTAGGGGGATCATGTATTGGATTCAATTGCAGGGCGTCAAGGACACTGGTGAAAAACGCACTGCGCATGCCCACAGCTTTCCCGCTGAAATCTGCCTAATTTCCTTTGTAAAGCGATTTTTGTGAAAGTTTTTTACAATTGATAAGCTCGTTCACCTATATATAAGATTCATATTTCCATCAATCATAGTTTATGATAGGTCCGTTTAGTATGTAGTTTCTATTTTTATCTTGTTATTTCTATTTTGAGAAAATGAGTAGTGTTTTCTGTGTTATCGCTGTAAATCGCCAGGAGCTCTGTTTACAGATTTCAAGACGCAAGCGCCCACTGGCGGGAAAGCTATGGGCATGCGCAGTGCGTTTTTCACCATTGCCGGCGTCAAGCTGTTTTGTGCCGCATCATCGCCATTGTTTTCGTAGATACCATCATTGCAGCAATCACCATTCAAACAATTTTTATCACTATCATAAACCAATTCGAAATAGAAAGAACAAACCTAACTTACGGACACCCTGCTATTACGGACATCTCGATATTACGGACACCCCGCTATTACGGACATCTCGATATTACGGACACCCTGCTATTACGGACACCCTGCTAATACGGACACCCTGCTATTACGGACACCCTGCTATTACGGACACCCTGCTATTACGGACATCTTGATATTACGGACACCCTGCTATTACGGACATCTCGATATTACGGACACCCCGCTATTACGGACATCTCGATATTACGGACACCCTGCTATTACGGACACCCTGCTAATACGGACACCCTGCTATTACGGACACCCTGCTATTACGGACACCCTGCTATTACGGACATCTTGATATTACGGACACCCTGCTATTACGGACATCTCGATATTACGGACACCCCGCTATTACGGACATCTCGATATTACGGACACCCTGCTATTACGGACA